ACAGAGATATTCGCAGGAAAACCTCAGCAAGCGAGAGTCCAAAAGTGGCAGGCTAAAACTCAGAATCTAAACCCATGGCTGGTACCAAATGAAAGACTCCCTCCTGGGCATGGAAGGCACTGAACAGACTACTCTTTGGCACTACGAGATGCAGAGCCAGCCTTAAGAAATGAGGCTACAAAGTGGAATCCACAACATGCGAGTGTGGAGAAGAGCCAAACCACAAACCACCTATTACAATGCAATCTTAGCCCCACCTCATGCACAATGGAGGACCTTCTTTTAGCAACACCAGAGGCACTCCAAGTAGCCAGCTTCTGGTCAAAGGACATTTAGCATAATGCCAAGTTTTTAAATGTTGTTTGTGTTTTAAATACATTACAGCTGTACCCACAATTTGCTTCTGACATGATAAATCCATCAATTGTACTTTAGTGCATTTTCCAGGAGAGGGCAGTGATGCCAGCTTTTCCCTGGCCACATCTCTTTCCCATTCACACACACAGCATTTACACACCCACACGCTCTTCAGACGATTCAGACTCCCCTATCTATCATCCCCTTTGCTAAATATAAACAGATCAACCTTTTCTCGAGCTGTCTTCAACAATCAGACCTCCCCATCTGCAGTCCCTTGCAGGGTTTCTGCCTCACAAAAAGGTGTATGGTTCATCCTCTCTCTCTTTCTTGTACTACAATGCCTGTCATCCCCAACTGACAGCATCTACAAAGGGATCTGTATTCCAATGTATCAGGGAATATTATAGAATCATAGAGTTTGAAGAGACCACATGGACCATCTAGTCCAACCCCCTGCCGTTCAGGAAAAGCACAATCAAAGCACCCTCGACAGACGGTCATCCAGCCTCTGTTTCAAAGCCTCCAAGGAAGGAACCTTCACCACATTGCATCCCTCCTTTCCACTTACATTCTCCCTCTATCTGGGAGAGACCTTGTGGCCTTTCTTATACAGTTGGATTATTATGCCCATCATCCCCAGCCATAATTTGTCCTTGGGGAATACTACACTTGATCTTAGCCAAAAGGCCGAGAAGCGATATCCTTGGGGAATATGTAATTGTTCTGGAGGATCGTGTATTTCCTTTTTCTGCTCTAACCTATGGTGCACAGCATGATTAATAGCAAGTAGGGTCTAAATAATAGCCTAAAGGTACCAAATGCATTTGATCTTGGATGCTAAGCAGGGCCAGCCTTGGTTAGTACCTAGATGGGACACCATCAATGAATACCAGGTGCTGTAAGCTATGTTTTAAATGAAGGTACTGGCAAAAATCACCTCTGAGTATTTCTCGCCTAAGAAAACTCTGTGAAATTCATTATCATGAGTTGACAAGTGATTGGAAGGCAAACACACGCACACCAGCTGCAACATATGACACTTCCCGCGTGTCATAAATCTCGCCACCATTCTACAGCATACACACCTGTGGTTGTTTTGTTCCCACCTCCTCATATTCATTCACTCTTTCTTAGTATCTTCCTTACAACTTCTTTCTCTTTTCCTCTTCCATGTGTGACGTGCCTCAAATATAATTGTTCTCCACTCCACTTCCCTCAGTTTGAAGCCAGCTATTAAAAACAAACACCTTCTGGAAGTTTTGTGTTGCTGAAATTTGTGATAATTATCACTATATTTTTAAAAACCATAAAAATCAGGTAGGATCTGGTGCCTCTGAGGTATTGGTAAAGGTAAAGGTTTTCCCCTGACATTAAGTCCAGTCGTGTCCAACTCTGGGGGTTGGTGCATGCTCATATTTATTTATTTATTATTTATTTACCTTACTTATATACCGCTGTTCTCAGCCCAAAGGCGACTCACAGCGGTTCACAACAAATACGAACAGCAAAAATTCAGTGCTACAGTATAGAACAGTTAACAACCTAACACATTACACAATTAATAAACAGTTACTACAATACCCATTCACTGTCGTCTCGTCATCAAAAACATGTTCTAGATTCGTCATCCATTGTTCCATTCCAATGTTCATTAACCAATCATTGCACTAATTATTGGAACGCCTGCTCAAACAGCCAGGTCTTCACTTTTATCCTTTATTATTATTATTATTATTATTATTATTATTATTATTATTAGTCTAGATCCATTGTTAGCTAGTTCAGAGGGTGTGGTTGAACTACAACTCCCATATGCAAGTCCCATTGCTGATGGTCTATTGTCCTGGGGGTCATGGGGGTTCTGAATGCCAAGTTTGGTCTTGATTGGCGTGGGTCACAGTGGTCTCAGGAAGTGAGTGAAGGTATTGATTTATTGAGTGAAGGTGTTTAATTGATTTGTTGTGGTTTTATATTATATATTAATGTTTCTAATTGTATTTATAATATTGTGTGCATTGAATTGTTGCCTGTAAACCACCATCAGTCACCTGCAGGCTGGGAAAGACAGTATACAAGTACAGTAAATAAATAAATATCAATTTTTAAGCCAAAGAGCCACCGTTGTCAGTAGACACCTCCAAGGTCATGTTGCCAGCATGACTGCATGGAGCACCGTTACATTCCCACCAGCGCAGTATCTATTGATCTAATCACATTTACATGTTTTCGAACGGCTAGGTTGGCAGAAGCTGGGGCTGACAGCAGGAGGTCACACCACTCCCCGAATTCGAACATGCGACCTTTTAGTCAACAAGTTTAGCAGTTCAGCGGTTTCATCACTGCACCACAGGGGGTACCCAGGTATTAGTTTCATAGAATCACAGAGCTGGAAGAGACCCTCAGGGCACACAACCAAACCACTCCCAACAGATGGCCATCCAGCTTTGAGTTAAAAACCCCTAGAGATGGAGCCTGTAATTTCTTTGCAATGTCTAATTGGAATCTCTTTTCCTGCTATTTAAATCAATTGCTCTGCATCCTAGTCTTTCCTGTTGAAATCCAATGACTTTATTAGAACCAAGTCAAGTGTCCAAAGAGAGCGTCACAGCTTTTATCTTGTCCATTGTGCTGTGGTTACTAGACTCCCTGCATCCATCACAAATATGCCCTGAAAGGAAGCAATAGATCAGCTCTTTCCAGCCACTCATGCTTGAACAACTCAATGACAGATACAGGAGGATGGGCAACGCAGCATCCAATACGTGATCTCATATTTCTCCCTTCCGTACACAAGCTTCCCAACCATATAAACAATCAGCTGTCCATTCTCTCTCGCAAGCAGCCTGTAAAGTCATTTTAGTTTCTAACCCAAATAGTTTTCTCTCCCCCAAGGTGAGAAATATGAGGCCCTAGGACAACAAGGCACTGTGGTGGCACAGTGGGTTAAAGTGCTGAGCTGCAGAAGGCTGGTGGTTCGAATCCAGGGAGCAGAGTGAGCTCCTGTCATTAGCCCAGCTTCTGCCAACCTAGCAGTTTAAAAGCATGCAAATGTGAGTAAATCAATAGGAACTGCTTCGGCGGGATGGTAGTGGCGCTCCATGTAGTCATGCCGGCCACATGACATAGGAGGAATCTATGGACAACGCCAGCTCTTTAGCTTAGAAATGGAGATGAGCACCAAATTCCAGAATTGGACACAACTAGACTTAATGTCAGGGGAAAACCTTTGTGTGTGTGTGTGTGTGGGGGGGGGGGGTTGGGGTTGACTTCTCTAGATTGCCTGGACTACTTATGGGGAGGGAAGGAAGGAAGGAAGGAAGGAAGGAAGGAAGGAAGGAAGGAAGGAAGGAAGGAAGGAAGGAAAGAAAGAAAAGGTAATTTGCACCTCTTGGAATTTAAATGACTGCAATGCTAAACATTTGGGGACTGAAGGAAAATTTCATGGTGGGGGCAGAATTCTGATTTGGAGTCAATAGCTTCTTCCTCCCCATGGCAACAACACTACAGTTCCCTCAACACTATTTAACATCATCCAACAAGCCATTTTTTTTTCAAAATCAGAAAATAATTTCCAGGGATTTTTGGAAGGCAATCCAAAGCAAAGCATGCCCCACAAGACTCCTGAAGCAGAAAAACTTGCACCCTGACTTTTGCCCCTATGCTTCTTTGAGTCCTAAGTAACGTATTATCTGTTATTGAAGGCTTTCATGGCCAGAATCACTGGATTGCTGTGAGTTTTCCGGGCTGTATGGCCATATTCCAGAAGCATTCTCTCCTGATGTTTCACCCACATCTATGGCAGGCATCCTCAGAGGTTGAGGGGTCTGTTGGAAAGTAGGCAAGTGGGGTTTATGTGGGATGTCCAAGGTGGGAGAAAGAACTCTTTTCTGTTGGAGGCACTTGTGAATGTTGCAATTGGCCACCTTGATTAGTATTGAATAGCCCTGCTTCAGAGCCTGGCTGCTTCCTACCTGGGAGAATCCTTTGTTGGGAGGTATTTGCTGGCCCTGATTGTATCATGTCTGGAATTCCCCTGTTTTCAGAGTATTGTTCTTTATTTACTGTCCTGATTTTGGAGTTTTTAAAATACTGGTAGCCAGATTTTGTTCATTTTCATGGTTTCATGGTTTACCATTTTCATGGTAAAATATAGGGTTCGCTATTATCCAAGGTTTTAGTGATTGACAGGTGTTCTTGGAGCTATCCCTCATGAATATAGGTGGTAGACTGTATATTTCCAGTTCTTTCAGCACAGGCATGGGCAAACTTTGGCCCTCCGGGTGTTTTGGACTTCAACTCCCACAATTCCTAACAGCCGGTAGGCTGTTAGGAATTGTGGGAGTTGAAGTCCAAAACACCTGGAGGGCCAAAGTTTGCCCATGCCTGATTTTGAGGTAAGAAAGTGGAGCAATGGATTCAAATTGCAGGGAAAGAGATTCCACCTAAACATTAGGAAGAACTTCCTGATTCTCAGAGCTGTTTGACTGGAAGACGCTTCCTGGATGGCCATCTGTTGGGAGTGTTTGGATTGGGTGGCCCTGGTGCTCTCTTCCGACTCTATAATTGTATGCTAGCCCCCTCCCCAAAGCCCTCCCAGGTTTCCTAAAGCATTTAAAAGCCTCCTGGCTGCCTTCCTGCCTCCCTTCCTTCCTCCCTCTCTAGGCTATGTAAACCCCACCTCCCCTTCCTCGGGGCCCCACCCTTCACCAGCCACGTTTCAGCACCAAGAAGCGCGGACAGCTCCCCGGCCCCAGAGAGGGAAGAAGGGAGGGGGAAAGGGAGGGAGGGAGGAGAGGAAAAAGAAGAGGAGGAGGAGGGGGCCCCACGCCCACCAGCCCAGCCTCCTGCCTCTCCTCGCCGCCTCCATCTCTCGCCTGGCTTTGGAGCCACCGCCTCGCCAACAACATCCCTGCTGGGAAGACGAGCCCAGGGAGGGGAGGAAGAGGAAGAAGAGGAGGAAGAAGAAGAGGAAGCAAAGGGTAAGAGGCGCCCCTTGGGCACTTCGGGCTTTGTGCGCCCAAAGAGATCAGGGCTTCAGTTGTTTGGTTCTTCCTTCCTTTCTTCTTTGTTCCTTCCTTCCTTGTTTCTTTTTTCTTTCCTCCCCTCCTTCTTTGTTTCTTCCTTCTTTCCTTTTTGTTCCTTCCCTCTCGCCTTCGTGCTGTCCTTCTTTTATCGCCTCCCTCTTTCTTTTTTTCCTTCCATTCCTTTCCCTCCCCTCCCCTTGTTCTTTCTTTCCTTCTTTTTTCTTCCTGCCTGCCTTCTTTCTTTCCTTTTCTCCTTTCTATCTTCCCTCCCTCTTTCCTTCCTTCCCCTTCATTCCTTCCTTTTTGATTCCCACCTGCCTTCCTTTCTTCATTGCCTATCTCTTTCTTTCCTTCCTTCCTTCCTTCCTTTCTGCCTGCCTTCTTTCTTCCTCCTTTCCTTCCCTCTTCCTCCCTTCCTTTCCTTGCTTTTTCCTTCCTTTCCTCTTTTCTTCCTTTCTTCCCTCCTTCCTTTCCTCCCTTCCTTCCCTCCCTCCCTCTTACCTTCCTTTCTTATCTCCCTCCTTCCTTCCTTCCCTCTTTTGTTCCCTCCTTCTTTTCCTCTTTTCTTCCTTCCTTCCCTCCTTCTTCCCCTCTTTCCCTCCTTTTTTTCCTTCCTTCCTTACTTCTTCCTTCCTTCCCTCTTATATTCCTTCCTTCCCTCTTTTCTTTCTTCCCTCTTTCCTTCCTCCCTTCCTTCCCTCTTCTCCCTTCTTTTCCTCCTCCTTCTACCTCTTTCCTTCTTTTTCTTCCCTCTGTCTTTTCTTCTCTCCTTCCTATCTTTCCTCCTTCATTCCTCCCCTCCCTCTTTCCTTCCTTCCTTCTCTCCTTCCTTCCTTCCTTCCTTCCTTCCTTCCTTCCTTCCTTCCTTCCTCCCTCCTTCCTCCCCTCTTTTCTTCCTATCTTTCCTCTTTCCTTCCCTCCTACCCTTCTTCCTTCCTTTCATCCCTCCCCCTCCCCTCGTTCCTTGCTTTTTCCTTCCCTCCCTCTTTTCTTCCTTTCTTCCCTTCTTTCCTCTTTCCTTCCTTCCTTCTTTCCTTCCTTCTTCCTTCCTTCCTTCCTTCCTTCCTTCCTTCCTTCCTTCCTTCCTTCCTTCCTTTCTTCCCACCCTCTGGGACGGGGAAAGAAAAGAAAGAGGGAGATGTTTGAGAGGGATGCACAATTCTTTCTTGGAGTGGTAATGCAAGGGTCCAAAAAGTGATCATGTTTTCCCCCTTGTTGGACTTACGAGGTGGGTTTGGAAACCTTCCTTCCCCCTACCTTTCTACAAGTGTTGGATTTAAGCTCCCATCATTCCCAGCTCCTTCTGGGATATAGACAGACCTCTTTTTTCTTGTCCCTTGTGGAGTCTTCCAGGAGGAAGATATTTGGAATGGGCTTTGGAACTTCACCAGCATCTGCAGAAGTTGGGCAACAGGTCCCACCATCCCCAGACCCATTCTGGGATATATAGAGGGAGAGGTAGTGTGTAGCGCAAAACCAGATCCCTTTTTTGATCGTAAACATATTAAGTGGACTTTGGTGTCTCCCTTCCCTGACTTTCTACAGGTGTTGGATTACAGCTCCAATCATGCCCAGTCTTCTCCTTTTATGATATATATCAGGCCTTGGGAACTTGGGCCCTTGAGGTGTTTTGGACTCCAACTCCCACAATTCCTAAAAGCCTCAGGCCCTTTCCTTTTGCCCCTCAGCCGCTTAAGCGGCTGAGGGGCAAAAGGAAAGGGCCTGAGGCTTTTAGGAATTGTGGGAGTTGAAGTCCAAAACACCTTGAGGGCCCAATTTTGCCCAGGTCTGATACTGATGGATTCCTACCATCTATGGATTTCCACAGAAAACATCTCCCATTGTCTCTTTCCCTGAGGTGCTGGGGATGATAGGAGTTGTAGTGTGGCTCTCTGGATGACTGCCAGATTGGGAGAAGCTGATATACAATATAACTGGGTATCCCCCATTTTTTCTACTCACCCACGCCAACAATATTAGCATTAAACTAATATTAAACTAAGCATGGGAAGAAAAAATATTATCTACACACATATAAGGGTATGCCAGTGGGGTCAATGGGATCTTCCCACTGATTGCCAAGGATCTGGGCACCTATGCCCTTTCCCATAGACAGTGCCGCTCAATAGGGCAAGGCTAATGGTGCTCCCTTGTACTGTAACTTCGACTGCCGCCCCCTTTAAATTCTACAAAAATCAATGTAATCCATTTCAAGGCTGAACTAAGGAAGGAATCCAGTCAGATGTAGGGAGAAAGATGGTCATGGAGGATGGGGCCTTTCTGGTTTACTCTATGTGTGTATGAATGGGGCATACATATAGAGACACATATCTAATCCCTTCAACATTTGCATAGAGAAAAAAGAGAAGGATATATTTATCTTATTGTTGTCATTATTATTGGAAATACCACAAGATTAGTTCACAGCAAACAAGATCACTACGCTGGCTTTTGCATTGGATCACACGTCAGACACTTCCCAAGTGTCTTGGACTGTGTGATGTATCGTTGAATAATGCGTGCAGATACAAGTAGGGTGGCCGTTTGCAGCTGGCAGATGGTAATTTTGTCAGCGCTGATTGTTCTTAAGTGCAGGCCAAGGTCCTTAGGCACTTCACCCAGTGTGCCGATCCCTAAAGGGACCACCTTTACTGGCTTGTGCCAGAGTCTTTGCAATTCGATCTTTAAATCCTCATATTGTGTCAGCTTTTCCAGTTGCTTCTCATCAATTCTGCTGTCCCCTGAGATTGCAACATTGATTATCCATACTTTGCCCCCTCCCCACAATCATGAAGTCAGAAGTATTGTGCTCCAAAATTATTATTATTATTATTATTATTTATGAATTATTATTATTTGAAACACAACAAGATGAGTCCACAGCAACAAGATCACTATGCTGGTTGTTGTATTGGATCACACGTTGGACACTTCCCAAGTGTCTAGGACTGTGTGATGTATCGGCGAATAATACGTGCAGATCCCGGTAGGGTGGCCTTTAGCAGCTGACAGATGGTAATTTTGTCATTTTTGTGTTTAAGTGCAGGCCAAGGTCTTTAGGCACTGTACCCAGTGTGCCGATCACCACTGGGACCACCTTTACCGGCTTGTGCCAGAGTCTTTGCAGTTCGATCTTTAAATCCTCATATTGTGTCAGCTTTTCCAGTTGCTTCTCATCAATTCTGCTGTCATCTGGGATTGCAACATCGACGATCCATATTTCGTTTTTTTCCATGATCATGAGGTCAGGAATATTGTGCTCCAAAATTATTATTAATTATTAATTATTATTGAATTATTATTATTATTATTATTATTATTATTATTATTATTATTATATCTTCCCGTGTTATGTTACATTTCCTTCTTCTGAGCATCCCTCTCTGTTATGAAGAAGAGGCGGGTTTTTCTTTCTCTTTCAACCTGCACAAGATACATTGGCAGAGAGGGGAAGACTTTGAAAACAGTGAGAATCATACATTTTCCTTCTGGGGACGGGCATTGCCCAGGATAAGTGGGCTCATCTGTGCCCTAATAAGAAGGAGGCGAGGTTGGTTCATTGGGGAGCCTTTGCTTTCCACGGCAAAGCTGATGGGAATTGCTGGATGTGACCCATCAATAATTCAAGGCCAAGCAAGCAAGCTGTTGTCTTTGGTGGGTGGGGCAGGGCTACTAGTCTTTAAAAGCTCTCAGCGTAGAAAACCTACCATCTTGTAGCTTGATCTGTATGGAGCAAAGTGGACTTTGTTCTGCTCTTCATGCTAAGAGCTTTGCTATGGAATGGAACAATATAAGGCTAAAGGTTGTTGCTGTTGTTGTTGTGTGCCTTCAAGTCATTTCCAACTTACGGCAAATGTGTTTCCAGGGCTGAGTGATGAATCGAACCCTGATCTCCAATGGTCAACCCATTACACCATGCTAAAGATACTTCTGAGCATATTAAGTGTGCATCCTTCCATATAATCGTGGAGTGATTTTACAGCACCCCCCCCCCCCCCCCCCCCCCCGGCCATTTATTTCTTGGTGTCTTCATTTTTAGGCCTGTTCCTGAGATTATTTGAGGCACTGATTCACAGAATTGCATTAGATACTCCACATCAGCCCTAGTTTCTTAAATATGGTTATCATGGTTCTCCATAGGTGAGCAGATAGCAACTAGTATATGGCACAGTATATGCTCTGTATCTCAAAAACTACAATCAGTAGTGGAAAACTGGTGACATGTTATGTGTGCAACAACCCTGTGAGGTTGCACAGTTTTATAGAGTTGGAAGAGACCCCAAGGGCCATCCAGTCCAACCCCATTCTGCCAGGCCTGAAGACACAATCAAAGAACCCCTGCCAGATGGCCATCCAGCCTCTTTGAAAATATGACTCCACTTTCTCTGAGGCAGTCAATTCCACAGGTTTTTTTTCTGTGTCAGAAGCAACTTGAGAAACTGCAAGTTGCTTCTGGTGTGAGAGGATTCGACATCTGCAAGGATGTTGCCCAGGGGACGCCCGGATGTGTGGGAGGCTTCTCTCATGTCCCCACATGGAAAACTGGAGCTGACAGACGGGAACTCACCCTGTCTCGTGGATTCAAACACCAACCTTCAGGTCAGCAGTTCAGCCAGCACAAGGGTTCGAACCCCAACTTTCAGGTCAGCTGTTCAGCCCGCACAAGGGTTTAACCCATTGCTCCACTGCAGCTCCTCATCTCAAGCAATATAAAATATTGTCAAAATAATGAGTGCACCAGAGTAATATGCAAACATTTGAAGCAACTGCTATGTGGAACACAAAATATGCTGTACATTTTGGTACTATTCCACCATCTAGGCAGCCTCCACAGTCAAATAGTTCTTACAACCAGGAAGTTCATCCTAATGTTTACCTGGAATTGGCTGTAATTTGAATCCTAGTCTCACGAGCAGCGGAAAACAAGCATGACCCCTCCTCAAATTGACATCCTT